TAGACAGCTGGGAGGCTGTGCTCAGCGGTTTCGCGGCATCATTTGCTGCTGACCAAAAAGATGGGAAGAGAGGGAAAACGAAAACGCAAGCCAGTGACACCACTCAAAGGAGGTCAGGGCGTATTGCTAAGCAACGCACGCAGGGCGGGAAACGCGTTAGGTGACGGCGGCGCACTGGCGTTTTTGGAGGTCTTGAATGAGTGGTACACGTATCGCCCTTTACAGTACAGAAGACAAGGATGATAAGCAAATCGACCCACTGTTCGAACGATCTCGTAGTCCGCATGGAAGTCTGTATTCAACTGGACGTTTTTCGTTGCAGGTCACGCCAGGCACGGGCTGAACATTAGTAAAACTCAAGATCCATCTTGTTCTTCATTGGCGCTCCTCCCGTTCTTCGTCTAGCCATTGCTTGCGACATGTTTCCTCGCGAGCCCCGGATTTCAGGGCAGCACTTGATGTACATCCGAGAATTACACTGAGTCTCAGCGTCGGCGATTTCAAGTCAGATATGCATTGTTTTAGTAGGGATGACCGGGTTGGCCATTCCTTGTTCTGACTGTCCCATCTGCTCCTAAATGTATGGTGGACACTGAACATCGGTGATGAGGTGGCGCCATTGACCCAATCAGACGTCGTCAAACGTGACCAGAGACTAAAAAGAGCATGCCGGCGCAAAGCACTTGGCTGTCATGTCCATGAATGCCTGTCGCCCGCTCCTATGATCATCGATGGAAGCCACAAAGCCATTGGGGCCAGATAGGACCTGGCCTCGCCCTGAGATACGCCAATCCTGTTCTTTCCAACGTCGTTTCCCGAAGACGCTGGCTTGGATTTCAAGCCAAAGGCATTTGCAACAGGCGGCTGCCGTCAGGATCGTTTAGCCGAGCGATCTTCCAATCCCGCCCCCTTTGCTCCGCGACAACCGCACCGAGCCGACCGCAGCAACACCATAGCGACGTCGATAAATCGGCACGTGGTGCACGGTCCTAGCTCCAGTTGCTTCACCGACGAAATGGTGTGGTCCATGGACGTATCGGCTTACGGAGGCCGCGCAATATGGCGTGCCTGTGCTGAGCATCATGAAGACTGAGGAGTTCTTCATACGTCTGCATAACATGTCTGCGTCCGAAGATTTGTAGCTGTTCTACGCGATGAGATATAGCCAGCGGCGTCGAGGTCTGGACTTTCGAGCTTGCGGGCATCTCGTTCCTCGCGGCTCCAACAAGCCGACGTTACTCCTGCATCAATTGCTAACGTGTTGCGGCTAGATCATGGCCACACGGCCACACGGCCCACACGGCTGCCCGGATCAGGATTGCATCAAATAAGCGATGCTACCCTACAGCTGCTTGTCGACAGCCGCAGTTTCCCCGGCACGAGTGAAAGGACACATTCATCGGGTGGCCATCGCTTAATCCATACAATCGTCGACACCGATACATCATACCATGTGAAAGCTGTTGGCGATGCCGCAGTCCGTCGATGGAATCTGTAGCAAGAGGTCTGGAAGGTTGCTGAGGGTTGAAAAGCCCAGTAGTCGAGCGTCCGGCATCGGCATCCTTCGGGCATGTGACAGTGGTCCGGTTATCCGGTTGACCTCCCCGTAACGACCGCCGCAACCACGGAGACTGGGGCACTGAACTGTCTGCGCTCCGTACCATGAGATTCTTCCACATTAAGCGCCTACAGTACAATCGTTCGAATGTTCTTTTGTCATAAGAGCATTGCTCTTCGCTTCGCAATCGCTTCCGTCCGCATTAGACTCTAAGGGTCGCGGATCGGTTGATTTCGTGACTGCGAAGACCGAGTCATGAGCAATCATCCTGGACCAAATCTAAAGTTTTTCAGGTGAAGCGTTGGATTCCTGATGCAACCGTTTACGCGAGAAGACGAATGCAACCAACACGACTATCTAGCGCCTGTTACCCCATATGGCCAGGCAACCACATAACATAACCGCCCCCCCCCCCCCTCTCACCGTTCTTTCCCGAATTGGGCGATCGTACGTCCGGATCGACCGTCAAGAACATGCGTTCGCTTCGTCCAGGCGTGGCTACAATTCAGCGGTGGTGCAGCACTACTACGTACGGAGAAGGTGTTGTTCCCCGGTCCCTGGGACGCGTGCTCCCAACTGTTCGGAAGACGCATGCTGCGATGTATGCGATGCGCGTTGTGCAGATAGTCG